AAATATTATATTCTTTTTCTTTTTCAAGCCTTGAGTGAACAAAAACCGATGTCGCCTAAGCAAAATATTTAGTCTCGCATCAGTGCGTAAGGACCGACACGCGCGGTCGTGTAATATGAACCTAAAGTCCGCATGGACCGGCCGCGCCTGAACGAAAAGTCTAACGCCGGTCCCTAGGGACCGGCGTGGCGTTTAACGTGTTAAAGTGAAAAGAGGCATGTCTGTTGTCATACATGTTTTCGAATCTGACGCGATATCAGCAGAAACAATCACATATAATAATCCGATTGAGTTACGGCAGAGTAAACAAAGCACGCTCCGAGTGATCCTCTTTGCTCCTCGGTTGTCCCAGGTGCTAACTTTTTGTTACGTACCTTACTACCTGCTCCGGTAATACGGATGACGTATTCGTACATTGTGGGGATTGCGAATTTGCTTCCAACGAGTACCCGTTGATACGAATTTTGACCATTCACGAAGTTAACTGATGCGATACGAGACTGGGGAAGTAAATACTGGGTATGACTGAGGCCTGACACCCGTAGGAAAATGTGGAAACATTTAAATCATGAGTAATGTTTGTATAAATAGGAATCGAAGAAATTGAATTATTTATTGCCTGAAAACTGACATATGTATCTTTTAGGATTATGTATGAAGTTTCCAGTTTTACGTTATCATTAAGGGAAATGTCCTTTCATTTAAGAGTCTAAAGACGACTGATGTATGCGGAAGTTTAGGTAGGTGTCCCTACCTATATCTTCATTTCAAATTGATGTCCTCTAACCTGTCCACAGTGTCTGCATTGATAGTTACCCAAGAATGAAGGGCAGTTGGAGAAGTATGCACACGATTATCCTATAGCATCATTAGAGTGAAGCAAATTGGCAGCCCTGTCACGAATGAACAAATGGAAACAACATCGGACGTACTCTGTCTTTATCGAAAATACTTCTATCCTTGGTAGCTTTGTATACAAATCGAAAACCTTTGTACAACTTCACTCCAAACCTAAATAATCGCGATCCTATCATGTCACTAAACACGTCGAATAAAACTTCGGTAGCTCGAGAGACCATCGAAAATGCTGGAACCTACACGGAAGATATCAATTTCACATCGCGTGGAAAATTTCCATGTTTCAGATGGCCGGGATGAGCGTGCGGGACGGAAGAAGAATGGACACCGTGAAGTCCTGGGCGGAGCGCAGCGTTTGGTCCCTGGTATGCGCGATGGAATTAGGTTTGATATCGGACCCGTGTCTGACGAGCGTCTCGTTTGCCACGCTGTCCGATGACAGGTCGCTCGTGAAGACACCGATGCCCAACGAATTCCCCTCGATAAATTCCACGATCGAAACTGCTAGTCGCCCCCAGCTGATGACCGGCCTGGCGTTCCCAGCGAGGACCGGCTCCCAGCGACGAGGAAGAAAACCATCGTCCGCGTCGCCGTCCACGAGGTTAGCGGGCGTATCTAGAACAGGACGCGTCACCAAATCCACGACCACGGGGAGGAAGGTGCGCGCTGGTTGGACGAGGGATCGCGGGCTGGATCCGGGTCTCGACCGCGCGGCGAATCCCACAGTGGCGAATTTTTGGAGATCCTGCAAGAGGATACAGGAGACCCAGAGGAAACGGCCGGACCGAAATTGCGGAGACGCGGACGATCGTTTCCCGGATCAGCCTCGGAGCGTCGTCCTCGCCCCGGGAATTTGTTATCGGACGCTGCAGGGCCCCAGACGCCGCGGAGACATCGGCGAGAAGGGGGCTACGGTTCGATCGAGCGGCTCCGCGGCCAGGGGATTGGACCCGACGGTGGATCACCAGTTGCGTCGCGGGAACGCGGCAAAACTCGTCGCCGAAGGTCGCGCGATCATGCGGCGGAGGCGGAAGAGGAGGCCGAAGCGCAAGATGGCCGCGCGAATCGTCGAGAACGCGAAATCCGTGGCATCCGAAATTCTCCCGGCGCGCGACTGCGAGCCGGCCGTCCCCGACCTGGTGAGGGACGCGATCCTCGACGAGGACCGAGCGGGATCGTTCGACGACGAGCGCTGGGAATGCGGGAACAGCTGTCGGCGCGCGACGGTAAACAGTCCACGCGAGGATGGTCTTTGGGGTCCGATAGCGAGCCACGACTACGAAAGGTCTTCCCCGTCTGATATCGATCTAGCGACTGGTTTGCTTCCGCTGTCGGTGCTAGAAGAAACTAGGGATATGGAAGGTGGGGACGTTGAAGGCGGTAGCAGTCCGCAGGGATCGTTCCTGGGGGAGGAACAAACGATCTCGCCGGACGACGTCGACGCGCTGCCCCTGGCCAAAAGGATCTTCGCCGGAAGCAAATGTACCAGCGAAGAAGACGAGGAGAGTTATTCGGCCGGCAGCGGCGCCGGAAGACACAGCAAACACGGTCGGACGTCGAGCACCGGATCCCGCGATTCGTATGCCGTCCCGGCGGATGCTCGCACGCCGAACGAACGTGATTCGTCCGGCGACGAGCCGCGCTGCGAGAAACCGCGACGGCGGAGCGGTGCTCGCAAGCTGGACAGAGATAGCAATGATTACCGATCCAAGGACGAGTGCGGCGGTGAGTCGGAGGACAAGGTGGCCGCCGTGAAGAAGAGGATAGCTAGGAACGGAGTGGTGACCACGTCCCTTAAGGACCCTGCCAGAACCGATACGATCCGCGCGAAGATATTTAAGAACGATGAAGAGTATTGCGATATTAGGAGGGTGACGCGGGGATCGACTAGGATCAGCAAGGAAAACTTCGTTGGGAAGCTCGTTTGGGGGTGTTGCTCTGGATGGTGGCCAGGTAACGATCTCAACGTGTTTCTTTGACTGTTTGTTCGTTGATACTTCGATTGCTCTCCGTTTCTCTTCTTCTCGGTGAATTTTACTCTGATTGATAGTCGTTTGACAGTAACGATCGTTAACGATTGGAGTGGGATCGATGCTATTGATGATGTTCAGACGATTCAGAGTTAATTGGAATGATTTTGTTTTCGTGATGCTGTGGATAAAGTAGATGTTAATTTGCTAATAAAACATCAAATCAGTACTGCTGTTGTGAAAGTTGTTAAATTTTGTGATGTATCAAGCAAGTGCCGACTTTTCCATGAAAATATGTCGATAGCTTTCGATTACGTTTATCTATCAAATCGTAAATTGCAGCACGGTATTGTTGGCGTTGATTCGGTATTATTCCTATCGTTAGCGGTTGGTAAGTTTGCAACATTGGTTTTATTAATGCGCGGAAACCATTAACGTTGAGAGAACCCTCGAGCGACGAATCATGTACCGACTGACCGCATGGCGAATACAGTGTCCATTGGGACCTATAATGTTGGATCTGGGTGTATTCACCAACGAAAATTAAGGAATATAATAATTAACCGTTAAAAGCGCGATACCGTCTCTTTTATTATTCATCATTTTTTAAATTATTTGAACGAAGCTTCTCTAATTATAAAGGTACACCCCATTATCAGTACATGGGTCCTGATGAACTCCGCATTCGCCGAGCGAGAATTAACCCTTTGCAGTCCGAAGAGCTCCTGGTTTTTCCCACTGGAATTAACTTGACTTAATTCAAATGTAGTTACGGCACTTTAATAATTTTATTGAGACCGTTTGGAAACGACTAAAAATGCATCTGCATATGGTAATAATTGTATCAATAACTATATATAAAAAATTGAATAGAGAATATGAAATATAGAGTAACTTCAGCAAAAGTGGGTAAACTACTTAACTGTTCGAACAAATTGAGTAAGTCTATCTCAACGCAGGACCGCAAAGAGTTAATCGTCTTCGTGAAAAAGAAGAGAGAGATTCGCGCGCGGTTCATTCCTTTTTGTTTTTTTTCTCGTGTGAACCTGTGACCCGTGACTCTGCAGAAGCACGCGATTTCGGTGCCGGTTTGAACATCGAATCGCGCCGATTTCGTGCACGCAACTGGCCACACGCTGCTGCTACCTAGCCTCGCCTTTGAATAAACATTTCTATATAACATTACAGCGTTAATTATCGACGCGGACCATGTCGGAATGTTGTCCGAGGCAGGAAAATTGTGGGTTTACTGGATCGGAGAAGCTCGTATATCATTAGTGAATATGATTTTTTTTATTTACATACACACATATACAAATATATACATACGCACCCAAATGCACACACATACAACACTATTTCCTCTTATTCTTTTTATTAAAATTCCCCCGCTGGGTGCAATACATTCCGCGTAATCGCCGGTAATTACCGTGCTTTCAGCTGAACGAAAAAACACAGATCGAATCGTTCTCGTGCAACCTGAAGTACAGACTGACGCAAGCCTCGAACGTGGCGCGGGTCCGAGCCATTGACGCAACTATGCAGGTTTTTCTTTTAAACAATTTCCCTTCTTTCTTTTTTCTATTCTCTTCTCTATTTTCTTCTGCTCCCTCTACTTCCTCTTTCCATTTCACTCGTTTCGCTGAATGAATATTGAATCCGAAAAAGTGAGTGGAGGAGGAGAGTCGGAGATCGTCGACTAGATTTTTAGGGGAGTCTCAGCACTGAGTTTGTTTCAGATGCTGCGCGGTTGTTTGGGCTGTACCTTGACGAAGCCCTACTCGAGCTGGATCGAGAACAACTTCTCGGACGTGATCGAGAGTAAGTTGATGATCGTGATTTCCCTTTGCGGATTCAATTACGATTAACGGCGCGCTCGTCGGTTGATACGTAAACCTTTGTTGCACATGAAACGGCAAAATCGTTTGGATATGATGATCGAAATGTTTGATGATTCGCGATAACGTAGATCCACGCTCATCAAGGCGACAAATTTAACCTCTAACTGCAGAATTTCCAAGTTAATGAACGAATTTGATTAGAATAAATACTCTTTACTTGTTTTTTCTACTGTGTCTGATAAGGAAATCGTTAACGAAAATCATAACTGAAGCTTTTTTCTTTTTTGTTAAACAATGCCTTTAGTTTATTTTAAAGAGTACGCACACGAAGGGTGTAGCATAAGGTTTCTTTTCATCTCGATGGTTAGGGGTTAAATGAATTCGAGTGATTTAATTCGCGGAAAATACTCGGAGAATGAATTCAACTGATCGAACGATTTCTGTTGCACTACAGTGATCGATGAAATCAAGTTCTATCCGTATCCCGCCAGGATACAGCAGAGGCTCGCCTATCTAAAGGAGAAGAACGCGAAAGTCACCGAAAAGTATTTGCTGGACCAAAAACGTACGCATTTCCCTTTCAGTTTAACCTGTTAATCGGCTTAGTTTGAGAATGTTTTACTACAATTAAACGGATTATCTTTAGAGAATAAATAAGAAATATTCCTATAACATAACGCATTAACTCGCGTTTTTCGCAAGCGTGCAGTAATCTCTTCAAACGAAAACTCTCTTAAAGCGTAGAAGATGCTTCAAACAACGACAACAATGATTCCGTAGCAATGATTCTCATTTCCTATAACATGATTATAAAGAGAACAAGAGAAAAAAAAGAAACGCGTTAACCACAAGAATTTTGAACATTTCGTATAATATCAATAATAATTGATAATTTGATATCTATTTTTTACTTACTTATGTTACCAAATATTTTGATTGCACATCACAATTTCTTCTTACAATCGTTTTCAAGCAATTCGGAAGCTCTGGTGGCGACATTGGTGACCGCCGTAGCGGTGAACGTGTTAAAATCACAAATGAAACGTGATATCCGCGAGCACCGATACCTTTGTTCCAACTGAACGTGAGAACGTTTGCCTGATATCAAATAGAAAAACAGAACGAATTCGTCGGAGAGTTCAACCAAGTAGAAACGACGGGAGAACCCGTCTTCGCCGGTTAACAGGTTAACGTCCGTTGGCCGAGATCGTTTCTGTTGGCCATTAATCCGCTGATCTGTCCGGCAGGTGAAAGTCAACCGAGAAAGATCGCCGAAAAACCGAAAGAGCCGCAGCAGCCGAGCGACGCGGATTTAACGCGGTTGCCGCTCGGAGAGCAGAATCCAGGTGTCATAACGTGGGCAAAAATCGCTGGGCACAATTGGTGGCCAGGTAACGCTCCGTTAGCCGCGACAGTTCGCAACTACGTTTTTATGTACACCGTCCGCTCGAAAATATTTGGTCGCTTGTTTGACGAACAATAAACTTGGGCTTTTTTTCAGTGAACGAAATGCGAACGGACGCTTGAGCTTCCCGCGTGTTTGGTGTTAACCTTTGTCATCGAAGAGAAATGATGAAACAACAATGACCGTTACAAATGAATAACCCGTGTCACCTTTCGCGTCCCGTTGAAAACTGTCGTCGTGGCGAACGTATTTTCTTTCTGGCATACTGTTTATCGTTGGGAACACGTAAATTAATTTATTGCCATCAATTTGTCGCATGCTCGAATTATGGAAATGTTTTTTAACTGACCGGATAACTTCGTTCTAATTTTATTCGATATAATCGCAACGTTGCTTGAATAGTCAGGGTTAAACCACGAATATCGTAGCTGATCAAATATTTTCGAACGGTGGAATATATTCGTTGAAACGTTCAATGTTCCTTCTTTCTCAACCCCTTGCTTTATAATTCCAAATTGGATTTGGTTCGATGAATGTGAGTATAATTGTTGTATTGATCTTAATGACTTAATTCATTTGGAGGGAGGTGTTTGACTTCCATACCTCTTCTCTATGGTTCATTCGAATCGTACCAAATTATTTATTTCGCGCGACAGGGAATCGTAAAGCAAGAGGTCAATAATATCGTGTATTCCAACCGAAACCAATAAGTAATCAATAGACTGCGGAAGTTCATGCATTTATAGCGTGCAAAGGTCTTTAAGTGATTCTAAATAAAGAACTCTAATAGCGTTTAACATAGATTCGTAGTATTTCGAATATATCAGAACCGTTTATCGATATAGCGGAATTCTATTTCATTTTAGATTCGATTTATTCGCGAGAATACGAATCTTCACATCTGTATGGTCTCCACGAACAATTGAAAATGAAAAATTTAACAGTAACTTCTTGAATATTCGTACTTCCGAAAAATGAGAAAAAAAATTGACCTTTCTAGCAGAATCTATCGTTAAAAGAAAGAAACAATGGATTATTTATTGGTATGCGTTGAACTGACCACGCTCAAGCGGCTCCGATTCGTTCAGCACTTTTGAAAGCTCCGAAAGCTGGAACGTATTTTTCGTCTCCGTGGCAGTGAGCTCTGTTCCTACTCGGCGTTCGCAAAAATCGATACGGAATCGGAAGCCGCCGCAGCGCGTTTCGAAAAAGTTCTTCGAGATTTCGCCATCTAGCACGTTGAATGCTTTCAGGGTCACCGATCACTCCGAACCAGTTCGAATTACTGTCATTCGTCCAACTGAACGATAATCATTCGTAAACGTTTCAAAATCACAAACGATGTAACACGAAACGGAAATATTCATCAAGACAAATGTGCAGAGAACGATAATGCAATTAACCCTTTGCCCTACAATATCGTGAGGCTCGTGGCGATGATTTCAAACAGAATTTAACAGATATGCATGTCACTTAATCCTTTAGAATTCAAACTGGGTATTATATTTCTAGAATCAAACACAGCTTCAAACTTTAGAGTAACAGTAGAATGAATGCTTCGTTTCTTCTAGTGAATTATAAGCAATAAAATAGTTCTAGCGCAGTTGCGAAAGGAATCATTGGAACAAGGGGTTAAAGACTCTGATATATTTTTGAATTCGTCGCCCTATTAACCTGAAACTCGAAAAAAAATAAATCTACAAAACTTTGTCACCCTTAAGGGATGAATTTTGAAAAATCCCTTCTTTATAAGTCTTCATGAAAACAAGTGCTCTAAATTTCGTATTTCAAACTTCAGCGATTTCAGCTCGTCGTTGATGAATCAGTCAGGGTATTTCTCTTTGTATATATGTATAAATAATGTACGTTTCGCTCCATGAAAACTCCATGAACAAGACGTTTGAAAATCAACAGGCATTCAACGTGTTAATCCGCGCGACGAAACGGAAAGAGTTTAAAGTGGCTTTATCTGTTTGCATATCGCAGCGATGATTATCGATTACCGGGACTGTTGCATGCGTGAGCCGAGCTTCGGTTGCCAATGGATCATGTGGTACGGCGACTACAAACTGTCAGAGGTAAAAAAAGTTTCGGGCCCTAGTTTCTCGAACCCCATTCGCGTAAATGGAAATTGAACGCGACCGAGCCTTGCGTATCCGGGGATCGATTTGATTTCCACGGTTATACGATCCGCATCGGTGGTTAATGTCCGGCGGGCGCGTCGATGACGCGCGGTTCTCATTGCCGGCAGGTCCACCACCAGTCGTTTTTGAGGTTCGAGAAGGGCCTGGAAAAGATGCGCGACTACATAAACAACACCAAGAAACACGCTTTCCTGGTCGGTGTCCTGCAGGCTTCGAAGGTATTCGAAATTTAATGTTTTTATTTTAACACTAGCCTACGGAAAAATACTAGAACTACCAAATAGGTCATTGTCACCCATTACTGATTCCTTGTTTTATAATTATCGAGAAGACATTGCCGCTTTATTGTGGGAGAAATTAAGAATTCGAGAGAAATTTTTAAATGGATTAATATAGCAATGGGCAAGGTAAAATATAAGTCAATTGAAACCTTGGTAAATGCATTGCATAGTTTCTATAAAAAAAGTCAATATTAGACTATTTAATTGATCAATAGTTTTAGTTTAAGTCAATGGGCGGTGTTACAGGGGTTGAATACTGGAGCAGATTTTTACACTCTGTACTAACAATAAGTACAAGGCAACGCCATGCTCTTGTCTCTATTTTCAAGTGTTATTCTGCATGAAAAAGTGAATTGAAAATTTTTTAGTTTTTACGTTAAACCCCGCAGCTGCCGCCTTAGAATACCAAATGTCACGGGACCGAGTCATGATGTTTTGTCGTTATAAAAATGTAGAACGCAGAAGAAAATTCTCGATGTACCTACGCGTTTGGTATCATGCGTTGTTCGTCTGTTTTTCAGGATTATTGCTTCCGAATGGGACACGAAACCGATAATTGGACGCACGAGGATGTGTTCAAATGTTTTTTAAAAATGAATCGGACCCAGTCCCGGCAGAACCCTTTGAAAAAAGGGGAGTCCGCGAAAATATACGATAAATATTCGACGCATATTGTGAAGAAGCTGAATGAGCTGAAGAATAATCCGAACGTTGACGACCAACGCGCGGACGACATACAGAATAGCGGTGCGTTGAAGACCGAACGAAAACGGAACGTTGCTTTCACAGTGTGAACATAATTTCTTTTAATCCAGATGATTTATGTTCTGTAATGAACGGGAAGATCCCGCTGGAATCTCTGTGCCTGAAGTGTCTGAAGAATACTGGGGGCCCTATGGAGACGCATCCGTTCTTCGAGGGTTCTCTGTGCATTCAGTGCTCGGTATGAAAATTGTCAATGACTGTACCTTCAGTTAGGTTCGACAAACTAATTTCCTTTAGACTCCAAACTCCAACCCTCTAACAGTCTGAGTGTGCTGTACCAAATGAAATTGAGGTCTGTACTGCGCATGCGCGAACAAGGGAAATGCTAATGATAGGTGTAGCTCCGCCCTCTATCCAGAAGACGTTGCCATTGGCTCATTTAATAATTTTCCTTTGTTCAACCAGCAAACCCCAAGTTCGCATGGTAAACCATACTCACATCATGTCACCATTAATATCGATAATACAAGATTATTGACCTTCATGCCTTCGGTTTAAGTTTAATGCTTTTCTCATCGTATAAAAAAATATTTCTAAGAAACTTAATGATTATTGGTTTTAACAGAATTGCGATTACCGCGGTTGGTAGATTTTCCTGCGAACGGTTTTCATCTCCTATTCCTCCCACCACTTCGTCTATGGCTCCTCCCCCAATAATCTACCTTAGCTCCGCCGATTCTGATTGGCTCCGCCCGCAAGATTCAAGTTCGCTCGGTAAACTATACTCGAGTCACTGACACTGTACTAATAACCAATAATGCGAGAACATTATTCACGACGCTTTCAGGAGCAATACAAACCGTGCATGTTCGTGTTCGGAAACGACGCAAAATGCGTAAGTATTTGCATTCGGTCTAACTCGTTTCTCTCAGCGGATTGATAGTCAATGTTGGCTGGTTGGTAGTTCTACTGCACGATCTGCGCGGCGACCGGGACGGTGATCATTTGCGACAACGAGGACTGTCCGAGGTAATTCTCGCCGGCACGATCGACGATGTCCTCGTGGATTGTACACGGGTGTTCCTGGATCGTTCGTTTTCCAGGGTTTATTGCACCGCCTGCATGAAACACTTGCTGTGCCCCACAACCTACGAGCAGGTCCTAATGGAGGATCCTTGGGAGTGCTTCCTCTGTAAAAGCAGGTCCGACTCCGTCCCCGACACGGTAGTGAGGCCACGATCGAACTGGAAGGACAAAATAATCGATATGTTCCGGACGAACGGCAATCCGAGCGTGCGGGTGGCTAAGCACACCGACCAAACGCGAAGGATTCGGGTTCTCTCTCTGTTCGACGGTTTGAGCACCGGTAAACAGACATCATATTTTTCTTCTTCTTTTCTCTTTTTCATCGTATCTTTTTTTTTCTTTTTTCTTTTCTGGTTTACAAGAACGTTCATCGATTTCTACGAAGGTAAACCGCGCGGTTTCAGGTTTGCTGGTCCTCCGCAAGCTAGGCTTAATCGTGGACGTGTATTATGCGAGCGAGATCGACCCGGATGCGCTGATGGTCAGCGCCACGCATTTCGGCGACCGCATCGTCCATCTGGGTGACGTCAAGGACATCACGAAAGAGAAGATCAAGGAGATGGCGCCGATCGATCTGTTGATCGGCGGATCGCCGTGCAATGACCTGAGCTTGGCTAATCCAGCGCGATTGGGTCTCTACGGTAATCCGATCTAAAAACGTCATATCGATAATGGCAAAATTTGTTGAAATAGAAATTCTTCGTTACTGGAAGAATCGAAATAACTCCCCTTGTCTTGAAATACTGATTTCGCAACAGCCTAATGGCTTTAAGTACCACTTTCAATGTTCTCAAACTCGTACCTGACATCTCGATGTATAGGCGCAAGCTTAAAATACTCCACTAGCCAACTGTGTAGTCGTGATTTGCTCGATTATAAGGAACACTAATTGAAATTTATTGTGCCGGACACTTACACTTGTTCTTTAACTTCAGATCCAAAGGGAACAGGGATCCTGTTCTTCGAATACTGTCGGATCATGAAGCTGGTGAAGAAACTTAACAACGGGCGTCACCTGTTCTGGCTGTACGAGAACGTCGCCTCGATGCCGAGCGAATATAGATTGGAAATGAACAAGTAGGCCGTCGATGTATTTCAGTTTTACTTTGGTCGAGGAAAAACCAAATGATATTACTACTATTATTCTTACTATATCCCCTTACGCAATAATTTGGCCTTATATATTGTTTATTAGGAACTATCGTGAAGTTCGATTTTAAATATAAAACTGAAGATAAAGTGTTAACCGATTCCCTCGAAATGAAACTTTTTCTTCTTCAGAGCGAAATCGCTAATGTTGCCGATGATTTCAGGCATCTGGGCCAGGAGCCCGACGTGATAGATTCTGCAGATTTTTCCCCTCAGCACAGGCTGAGACTGTATTGGCATAATTTGCCGATAGAACCGCACTCGCTCTCTTTCCAAGGCGAACAGGACGTGCAGGATATATTGACGCCACACTGCCAAAGATATGCACTCGTCAAGAAGATTCGCACAGTCACTACTAAAGTGAACTCCTTGAAGCAAGGTACGTGAGCTTTTGCTCGATGACTGTTGAACCACTATTTAATTACCAACAATCTCTCGACGTTAGGTAAATTGGCCCTAAAGCCAATCTTGATGAAAGACGCAAGCGACTCGCTGTGGATCACCGAGCTCGAGGAGATATTTGGATTCCCGCGTCATTACACGGACGTGAAGAATTTATCGGCAACGAAGCGGCAACGGCTAATAGGCAAATCATGGAGCGTACAAACCCTCACTGCCATTTTCAAGTCCCTCTGCCCCTATTTCGAGTGCAATGCCATGGAGACCGATTTCGCTGCAGCCACAACTCCGAAAATCCGCGATTAGACATACGGGCCGTAGAATCGTCGAGCGCCATTACGTTACACGAATGATGATTTTATCTAGTCTGAAAAGAGACGAATGTTTTCAAGAATTTTTTTTATTTCTCCTTTTTAATCATTTTTATCATTTATTTTTAATTTTATTACAATTAGAGTAACCGGTAATTTATGCCGTTTATCTGTGCCTTGTTCACACGTGCTCGATCGTGTTTTTGTAATGTGTATTCTTTCTACACCGCCATGAGTGAAAAAAATATTTTACAGACATGTTAAACGTATCCTACAAGATGTACCTCTTTAATTGCTGTTATCTTGGCAATAAAAATAAAAAGATGATTATCAACAATCATTCTGAAGCAACAAACATAAGCGTTCTCAATATATACAGCTGTACCCAATGTCGCGAATGTTTTCAAATAGTCGTTACGAATTAGCCTTCATGTTTTGGTATCTCATACGGAAGTATCCCCTGCGATGTTCTCGACTCGTTGGCAACGCGTTGTCGCCACCAGTGTAAGGCACGTTCCTGTGTTGATTCAACTGCAGTAACGTAACAGGCACCGGTATGCAACCCACTAAACAGTTCACGCACTGCATTATTTCAGCTGATAACGGAGTATTTATGAATATTTCTTCGCGTTCAGTGTCAATTCCCCTGACAATTCCTGCATAAATATATTGAACGGTAACTCACAGGCAATGTCTATATACTTGAAAGGTATTGACGCGATAAAATACTCACCGAAACCGTAACACGAACACAATGGTATTCTGTTTAGTATTCTGGGACCGGAAGTCAGATCAGTGGTTTGCAACTCTGCATTCTCTATGTCAATTCCACATAAAGCTACTATATTACCGTTCACCACATTTAAAACATGCGATGGCGGCACTGATGTTTGTGGAACCGAGATAGTTAACGAAGAAATAGGTGTCCTGTAATCAACGGCATCCAAGAATTTTATAATATCAATATATGCCTACATTTTCGTCTGACGTATACAAAGAAAATAATACTAACACATACGGCACAGCTGCATTAATACTTAATGATATAGCGTCGTAACAAGAACTGCAAAAGTAATTTTCACAATAATATGTAAACAGTACTACAAATTATAATTCTATTGTTAAAGATAATAAAATTATTCTTACGTAGAATCCATAGGATTCTGCACAATCTCACTGAGGTAAGATATCAACACAAGTTCTCGTTGTTGATATGGCTCCATGTTCCAAGTTTCGTTTACTGAAGTGCTTTTACGTTCAGCATGGGATTGTATCACGTATAACTTATGATTACACGGTTGATTCCAGTTCAATACGTTTGCACTCCAGGAGGCCCACGTAAGCTCCTACGCGGAGAATATTTTCTGTATTAATCATAACACCAAAAAGCTATACGAACATAAAACAGTAGCCATTATTTACCTGTTCATTTATTACTTCTTTGCTCAAGTAGTTAGGGAAGTTACTTTTGGACTTCTCAGACATAATTTGCACTACCAGTGAAGGTTGAATTAATTTTGTGGTGAAAATCACGATGTCCCAGCCAATGCCATGAGTAAATCCCATAGTGTTCACTACAATTGGTAATCGGGACATGACAGGACAACTTGATAGTTTATCCACCAGCATTTTAATTCCCTCAATGTACCGCGTGAGACATCGGGACACGTTCACATCACCAATATACAATTGAAAAGCTGGAGGCCTTAAATGAGTAAAATTTGGTCCCATCAAAGGCTCCTCAATTAAACTGTACGAAATGCAACCGGCCGGTGTACATTCCGTCTGACCCGGATCGACGTCTACGAGAACGACTTTCTTGCTAGTAAGTAAGAGACTATTTATCAGATGCCGTGCTGAAGTAGATTTTCCGACGCTCTTACCGCCAGCAATCAAAGTGCAAGACCATTTATTGACGCGCCAATAATTCAACATTGCTTCGCTAACCTCTTGTGTTATACATTGATCAATGATCAACTCCTTGCAAGTATAATTACCAACATAAAGATTTGACTGTAGAATTACTTCAGCCCTCTTCGGATCGGTCCAGGTCTGATATGACACGTTCCTTATGCTTGGAAAAAGTCGGAATGGATAAAATACATTCAGAAACTTTGTTAGTTTGTTTTCTAGATTCGATAGCAGTACAACCGTCGTACCGGCTTGAAGATTGTTTAAGTCAGCCACCAGTTTGTTCTCAATATCTCGAGTAATGCCTTCAATGGAAAGAGATGTCCAAACATCTGGCTGGATTTCTTGTGAAAATTTGTTACTAGCTTTGATTGAAATACTGCTGTATCCCCGTGGAGAGTAGATCTCCATAGGTTTAGTGTCTATGTTAATCAGATATCCATAAACTTCAACTGCTCCATATATTACTTTTAAAACAATTTTACCAGTAAAACAGAATTGTGTCTTTTTAGGCATTACGACTAGAACCTTGTTTCTTAAACAATAAAATCGCAATGAACACTGTTTATTTGGGATACTATTCTTGTTCTTTTTTAATGTAAAAGTGTCAGTTTCCACATCTGATAAACTTCTACTACTAATAGTTCTATCAATTCTAATATTTTCAAGACATTCTTCAAATGTGGTAGATGGTTCATTGGAATCCCATGTGTTGCTATCAGTATTTTTAGTCTTTAAAGGTGTCTTACTTTTTCTTTGCTTAGAATTATTCTTTGAGGATGTCACTGTACTAGAATTATTTTCTGTTACATAAGGTCTATTGTTTGGATTTACTGATTCACCAACAATAATACAAGGTTCATCATTTTCTGAGTATGTATTCCATGTGCGTGAAGGATTATAGTTACAATTATTGTTATCCTTTGTTAATTTGTGACTCTGTTTTAATCCTTCTGGTATACTCAAAGAAGAGAGTGTTTCTGAAAGGGCTTCAACTATTACAGGTGAACCTAAATTCCTTTGTTGTTCAGAAATAGCATGGTACTGCTTGGTATTTTTGTCTCTGGATGTCTGTATCTCTGCTGACTCATCTCTGGACTCTAAGGAAAGATCCATAGAATCTGAAATTTAAGGAACCTCTTTCTACAATGATGTTCTGTATTCGAATAAAGATATTAAATCTTATTTTATCTTCAACCTGCAAATAACATTTGGCTTTTACCCCCATATACAAGATTCAATATATTCTACAAAATAACCTTGAAGATTTCTTACATGAGGCTGTACTGCTATCACTACATGTCTTTTTCTTTTTTCGTTTAATACTCTGTGTATCTTGTTCTTCACTGTGTAAAGAATTTTTGGTACTCGAATAAGATGAATTCATTGTTAAAGCCTTAAAAGCTGACTTTTGTTTCACTTTAATAAACTTGTTTTTCCTCTTATACTCGGGTAATTTACTAAAATGACAATTGTATTTTTAATGTTTAGAACCAATCTTGATATTGTTATGTCAGCATTTGGTCATCATAATATCAGATAACACTGTTAAGAGGCATGCACAATGTTTACTCACGCTTTGGTTTGTTTTGGGCCGGTTTTAAGAACTTTTATTTTTGTTTTTTTTGTTTGTCTTGTTTTCATATTGATATTATATAAACATACAGGAATAGGTTACAAATTATTCAAACTTGAGTAGGGCACGTTGTCGTCAAACTAACCTCGAACTTGCTATAAACGAATATTAGGCTGCATTCTCAAAGTGAAGCAGAATAAACATTATGTAGTAAGGTTTAACTTTTTTACGAAAACGAGATGCGTGGCATAAGACGGAATGGAAATGCTGCCTTAATGTAATTTGGAAGGCGGATGGTGGAAGCGATTCTTTAGCGACGCATCGCGGCTACTATAGTTACCATCCAATGTTAACGACACGGAGTCACGATATTGTATTCAACATTAATAACCACAAAAAATGGAGTTACCAGTTACGTATTGTTTATGTGGCCGTTCTTATGATTCCGAACAATTTATGATACAATGTGACGTCTGCAAAGAGTGGTACCACGGGGGGTAAGCATTTTAAATTTCATCAATTAGACATGATGTTCTGAACGCTACGCTTGAATTATACTTCGACAAACAGTTTACAAACATTTTCTTGAAGTTCTTTTCATGAAGAATTTGTAAACAATTCAATTATATTCACTCAACCATCTTCCTGTACTCTTCTGTTTATAAATAAGAATTACAGAAGAGCGTACAGAAGAGACAGAATATGTTTTGTTGATACTAACATAACCTAGTCCAAAAGGATGCAACACTTATGTTTTGTTTTGGCGCTATTTAAATAACTCGTATACTAGAATATAAAATTTCTGACAGTGCATACAAACACAAAATATATTTAATAATTACATACATATTTGTTTAATAATCTGTATCAATTGTGTTCTTTTTTTTATTAGGTGTGTATCTGTGAAGGAGTATATGTCTATAGACCTCGACAAGTATCACTGTACACGTTGTGAAGCCATGTGTGGACCCTCTCTCAGTTAGGACTTAAAATTTTATATACTTCATAAGAAGAATACTAATTACAAAATTTTTATTATTTTACCAATCGTTTCAGTGAAAGTAAAATTGAATTGGCACAGACATGACTACACAGAAAAGGATGCAGATAATAAACCAGTTCAAACAGGAACACCAGTATTTATAAGAGAATTGAAGTCCAGACATTTTCCTAAAGCTGATGAAATTGTTAAGCATGTCAGGGGTCAACAATTAACTCTTCAGTATCTACAAACAAATGGATTTGAAAATCCTATTATAATCGATGGAAAAGATGGTTTAGATATGGTTGTACCTCTTCCAAACTTTAGTGTTTACGATGTGGAGAGTTACATAGGTACATATTAATTGATGTTGTTGTTTTTATTATGCGTTAAACAGTTACGCCAACAAATATGTTATTCGATTCAGGTGGAGACCGAGAGATGGATGTGATCGATGTTACAAGACAAAGTAACATAAGAATGAAATTAAGAGACTTTGTCGAATATTACAATTCCCCTTGCAGGACAAGGGTTCTTAATGTGATTAGTCTTGAATTTACAAACACTGGGTATATCAATATTCATTGCCTTGCCACATGTTGGCTTTAAATATTTCTAGGAAATGTATATATATATTGACAAATAAACGTTGCAGTCTTTCACCAATGGTCGAAGCACCATACATCGCGCGTAAACTCGACTGGGTAAATTCTGTTTGGCCGCGCGATTGGTCCGAGGATAGTGACATAAAACGTCCTGAAGTACAAAAATATTGCCTAATGGGGGTCAAAGACAGTTTCACAGATTTCCATGTCGACTTTGGTGGCACGTCTGTGTGGTATCACGTACTGCGCGGAGAGAAAGTGTTCTATTTGATTAGGCCTACTCCCGCGAATTTACAGTTGTATCAACATTGGATGTGCAGTTCTACTCAGAGCGAAACATTTTTTGGAGATCAAGCGGACGCGTGTTATAAATACGTTTTGAAGCAGGGTCAAACTATGATGATTCCAACAGGTTGGATACATGCCGTTTTAACTCCGGTTGATTCCTTGGTTTTTGGTGGAAATTTTGTACATAGTCTCAACATTCCCATGCAGATACAGTGAGTATTATGCACAAATTTGGTAACACCGATTGCTGTTAGCTGTCAATACTAAATTTCACTACTTTATAGAATATACGAATTAGAGAAAAAAATGAAGACTCCCGCCAAATTTCAGTATCCAGGTTTTGAGACAATCAATTGGTTTGCAGCAAAAAAATTACTGAAAGAATTAAAAGAATTGAATAACGAAGGAAAGAAATGCCCGCCGTATCTTTTACAGGGCGTTAAGGCATTACTTAGTATTCTTAAACAGTGGAACACGGATAAGGATGTAAGTTTGTTTTTACCATAATCGGAGTTTTTTTATCAGACCTTATATTATGGAATTTTCATAGTTTATAATTTATCTTTATTTCAGTACAATATGATTAGTAGAGGTCAAATACCGGAAACCATAAACAGTCAGAAATTACTAAAAGATTTTAGCAAGGAAATTCGACATGCGGAACGATACTTAATATCTTTGAATCCTCCGAAACCGGAGCGGGAGAGTAAACGGAAAAAGAAAAAACCGTTGAATAAAGATTTTGTTGACTATGACGTGGCCGACAAAATGGTGGACAATCCGTTCAAAACAACGTTAAAAGAGACAAATAAAGTCGAAGCCACGATTGGTGAATCACTGCCGTCCGGTCGACCGCCTTTAAAACTAACTTTACCGAAACCCATTATGTACCCATATGTAAAGACTCAGGGCCCATCGTTAGAAGAGAAGAATAGTGGACCTCTCAATAGCAAACGATCATCGAAACCAGGAAAACAGAGTCCCACTGTAATTAGATTTAAACTTGGGAATAATGAGGTTGTAAGAAGTACACACGATACTATTAATGTATATAATAATTTACCTTCGGATCATCCTCTTGATACGTCGAAAGAATTAACATGGAAACAAACTTCTATATACGATTTTCATGACGGTAGTAACGAAAGTGATTACGGTCGGTTAACAGTAGACGAATCTCCGAAACGGAAAAGAGCACCTAGGGCTAACGCACAGAAACGTGTGAAACGTGATTACGACGGTGATGTAGATATTTTGAGCGATGTACCGAAAAATGGTATCGAAGAATTATTAAAAGCTTCGGCCTACACATTAGGAAATGGCGCACAAAGGTTGGATGTAACGTACGTGCATACATCATTGGTTTAATTTAAAGTGACTAAATTGTTTATCTATAATATTGACTGTTTTTAGTTCTACAGTGATTTCACAATACAGTCAACCTATGCCACCCCCTACAGGGTAAGATTAGATTACGAAGTAGCACGTTTATGAAGAATATCTTACAAAGCATGCTTAATTAGTTACTTTTCTCGTAGTTTTTTATTGTAGTAGAAACTACGTTAGTTTTGGTTAGCATAGCGCTGTTGTCCTTTACGTTTTTGGTGTTCTTAGTATTTATAAATTGAAAACGACCAGTTCTGGCAGGGCATCACCATCGACGCGGGAGGCTATCGCAGGAATGCTGTCGTTCAGTGAGCAATGTTACTCGACTACATCGAACAGTACTTCCAAATCTGCGAAAAACGCTAAAACGAAACCACAAGACGATGATGACGATGACGATCAGTCGATAGAAAACATCGATAAAGTTCATCAAGATGATGATTTCAGTACGTAAAAACATGAAGAGATTGTTCCTTTGCACGAGTATAATTCCAGCAGATAATTTACTTGTACGTGACCTATTAATTATTATTATGCTATTTTTCGTGTAGTTTATCCAGCTCTGGACGCTTCGGACGATGAGGATTATATCTTCAAGTCTAAGTCAAAGAGTCAAATAGATGAAGCGTGGAATCCAAAAGCACGAGTAGGGCCCTTATTGCCAAAAACAAATCGACCAGCCCGAGAGGGAGTGAAGAAAACGTCCGTCGAGAAAGGTTTGGAGGCCGCTGCAGCGAAACGAGCTAAACAGTCGGTACGTAAACTTTACCTGTTTGGTAATATTTTTTTTATGCATTACTTATCATAACAGGTATTATCTTAACATATAAGAATATAAGCAAATTTGACACCTGAATGTTCTCCAAATAATGTGCATATAAATTAGTGCTCATGTAAATAACATAGGTTCACCTGTTCAAGACTATAGATTAATTCATTTATGTCCAATTTCATCCTAATTTCCATAATTCTTTCATTCTTGCATACCTGTGTCGCGTAGGATGATTATCTGGATAACAACATGGAGAAGGGCTCCAAGAAAAAATTGGTAGGCATATTAAGGCTTTACACTTCCTTTTGTTGCATAAACATTACTCTTTCTTTTGTTTTGTTATGTGTTTTCACCATGCATGTAGTATCATTTTCCTTCATTGCAGTTTCACAGTAACATGAATAAAAACTCGAACGACATCGTGATAATAAAAATAATTTTAAAATATTTTATCCAACAAAGGGTATTGTTTAGAGGTCTTGTTGAGAGGAAAAGAAGAAAATCACTGTATTTGTTCCATCGACAGTGTTGTAGAGTTAATACTATTCATGTTATGTAACTGTTACTACTTATCTCGTTAATATTTAAAAATCGTACTTGTTGTGACTCTCATGACCTTTCCTTACATAATATGATAGTAGGCCAGTTATTCATTATTTTTTTTTTATATTACACAACAGAACGCAACTAAACGAACGTACAATAAAAAAAAACCGAAGTCGTCACCCGTAAGTTCGACAGGTGAAACATCGACTACATCTTCGGAAGACACTATGAAAACGAATATAGGATTCGGATCTATATTGACAAGTCCTAACAGGTTAAAGGACGTTAAAGCGAAACTGGCGGCCCCGGTTCCAGTCGGTAACGTACCTCACTCCAACGTTATCTTTTCTGATATTTTGCGCGAATATGTTCTTAAATTATCGTGGAATTTTTAGAACGGAAACCAAAGAAAGGAATGAAAACAGCGAAACAACGCTTGGGAAAAATTTTAAAGCTTCACAAGATGATGCACTAAATAGTAAAAGGATCTGCCTCAAAAATAAATTAAGCATCACGTCATTTTCTTCATTTGTGTATAAAAGTCATCTAATAGGTGTACATTGCTATGTAAATATACCTTACTCGTTAAGGTAGCGTACGTATTTTAAGATTCTAGTTTTAAAGAGTAAGATCTTTAGCTTTTTTTAAACGATATATTTATATTTATTATTTCATTATTTAATTTTAAGAAAGTATTTAGCGCATTTTGATACTGACTACTTCGACAAAATGTTGTGTACATCATAACAAACATTTTGCTGAGCTTTTCCTAAATACGTGATTTGATTTTAATGATTGATTTGGAATCAACTCTGCAAATGAACAAAGTTAGCAATTTATATGGATAGAGGCTGTAGCTTACCCATATTTGTTTAAATGATTACTGAATAATTACAGTGAATTCCACATGTTACAATGATTGCATGACAATTGTAGTATTGAAACCAAGTAATTGAGTATATTGGAACCAATTTTTCGGGTTCTAAAACTTTGCTAAACAAATTTTTTACCTAATTGTACATTTTTGGTATTTTCGGTGACTCGTACTTACACGCATGGTGAGATTATAGGAAATTTTTATCACCTCGATTCACAATAATATTTAATAATTTATCTTTTAGAATAAGTTCCATCCATTTATTCATAAGCGAGACTATAATCCACTTTATGATAATGATTTCATTTATTTTTATTTCAACAGATAATGTATATAACATTCTTTTATATTCGTCTATAGCGTTATAGTCGATCATGTAGATGCAAAAAATCAATGCAAGAATTGCACTTAGACGTTGACTTTATTACTTCGTTTTTATGTCGCAACATGCACCGAATTAACTTTTTTATTATAGAAAGACGCGTCATTCATTTTACAAATGAGAACTATCCTGGGACTGGTATAGTATTAATAATCGTTAGTTTTTATACACTTACCCAACAATAACTGATTGTTAGAAAATTTTTGAGCATTATTGTGAAATACGTATTTTTCTTGCAAATAAAGATTTTAACTATCGATATAATTTTTGCATTCACAACATCGTCGTATTGTTGACTGTGTAACACAAGTCCAGAAAAAATCATTTTCGTTATATATTAAATATTAAATGCTTAATAAATATTAATACGAAGGACAGGCATTGTAAATTTGTTCTTTATCTCTATTGAATCATAAACAGATGCCAGTGTTGTATGTATCTTTCTATTATCAGTAAATAACATGTTAAGCAATAACTCTCTATACAGTTGTATGTTACGTATGGGTGAGCTATATGCAGTAACATTCGAAATACCGGGTGACGCAAATAAAACCGTCCACAAACGCGAAATACAGTTTTATTTTGCAACGTATCGTACATTTAAGTTTTATATGACTAGTAATTTACGCATTTATCGGTAGTATTCAGAATCTATACCAGAAGTGGTCGCCGTTTGTCTTGATCGATTTTTAGATTCGGAAATGCGAAATTTTATTCTTAAACTGTATTTTACGTTTGAACCAAATGCTATGTTTACCACTCGGTGTAATTCACGAAACTGCCATTGATCGTAAAAATAAACTGTTTAACATAAACTACTTAACACTTTACTGGCGT